CCAACATAGTGAAACCTTGTCTCTCCTAAAAATACAAAAATTAGCTGGATGTGGTGGTGCACAATTGTAGTCCCAGCTACTTGGGAGGCTGAGGCAACAGACTTGCTTGAACCCTGGAGACAGAGGTTGCAATGAGCAAAGATCATGCCACTGTAGCCTGGGCAACAGAGGAGGACTGTGCTTCAAAAAACAAAAATCAAAACAAAACCACCACAACAACAAAAAAACATAGAGAGAGGCAAGTGAAGATAGTACATGCACAAGGATAGCCAAGGAACTGATTTTTTACTCCCTTTATTCTTTGGTGCAAAGAGAAGGCTTCCAAAGTTCTCTTCATGGCTGTGTTTATAGAGGGTTTGTGTGGAGTTCTTGCTGGTCTGGTTTTCTCTTGCATTTTCTCATTAGGACTTCTGGAAAAGAGGGCTTTCTTTAGTTGTTCAGAGGGGAACAGAAACCAAATATTCTTTCAGAGCCATCCACAGTGAAAGGGGTGTGGAAGAACAGGAACCTTGGTGCTCCGCATGAATCTGCCCTGTGTCACATTGGAGCTCACCATGGGAACTGAGTCTCCGATCATATCCTGGTTTTCCAGTTGATGAAATGGGGCAAATGAAGGGCGCATCAGATGAGGTCTTAGAAGTCATCAAGATATCAGAGAAGATCCTGATTATCTGGATGTTTAAAACGTTGGATGTTTGAAAGATTATTTTATAAAGAAAATGGTGACAAAGGAAAAGAAAACATTTCCCTGCCCCCCTCCCCACCCAAAATTTGCTGGGGAGTGTGCACATGGCTTTGCTCCTCCAGGCTGGATTGCTCTCTGGTCAGTAGAGATAGCAAGAGGCGACCTGCAGAAGCAGTATGTCCAGGTACTAGGAGGAGCTATGATGTCGGCATCATTTATCTGTACAGCTCACTTCCTCATTTTACCCTGCCATAATCACACGAAACAACTAGGTACTCACATTTAAGTGCTGTCTTAGGACTTGGCCAAATTAAAAAAAATAAATCTGCCATCTAGGAACCAAGACATTAAATTGCCAATACCAGATGAGGCAAACTTTCATGGGCTTCTATAATGGATAAGTTTTTATGGATCTCTGACTGGCATTCTTTGGGACAGTTGCATTTCATGTGACTCAGGCTCTGATGCCTGTGCTACTCTCCAAGGATATTCAAGCTGCTGTCCCTTGTGTGGCTCTCTGAGGCCTCACTTTTTGGACCCTCTACCTTGGAGACACTGTTTTGCCTATTGAGTTGAAGTATCAAGATGGACTTTTCTGACTTCCTAGATTCACGTGGTATGCTGTTTTGTCTTCTTTATTACTTGCAATGTTATGCGATACTTTGTTTTGCCATTTAAAATGTAGCCATAGGAATAGATCATATTTAAGTCCTGAAGTTAGTCTAGACTTCTCCATAGAGGCCGTATTTTTTCTTCAAGGCAACTCATGCAAATTTTCACAGTTACATTTTTAAGCATAATTTTAAAGTCCCGAACTTTAAATTAATGGCTATTCCAGTTATTTCTAGTAAGGAAGATAAGGATTGCAGTTTTAAATTATAGGCTGAGAAAAAGTTCATTTTAGGGTAAAACCTTGAATATTACCTGAGTTCTAAAGTGACCTATTTAAGATGTGGTCTTCAAACTGATGTGTCTAAATTTAGTATGATAGTAAGCCAACTGTTCTAAAACATGGCCAGGGAATGCATATTAGAGGTAAACTAACTTGGCTCTGGAAAGGGCCATGTAGCATAAATGGTATTTTGTGTAGAAGAAAATAATATATACTTCATTCTAAACCTATATCAAATATAATTTAAACCTTATCTTATTTATAAAGATTTTGCAATGCTTAACAGTTATTAGACACAATAATAACTATATTGAATTATAGGGAATGTATGTGGAATATATATTGAAAGACTTAGATATTGCTCTGTTTAAATAGTTTGGTATTTGCATGAGGCAGTGATGTATAGTGAGAGCCAACCTACCTGCCTGCCTGCCTGCCTTCCTTCCTTCCTTCCTTCCTTCCTTCCTTCCTTCCTTCCTTCCTTCCCTCTTCTTTGCTTCTTCACTCTTCTTTCCTTCTTCACTCTCTTCCTCCTTCCCTTTCTTCCTTCCTCTATCCCTCTCCTCCCATACTCTATTTCACCTTTCTTTTCTTTTCTCCTCCCCTTCTTTCAGAAATATCAACTGTACCCCCTTTCCGGGCCAAGCATGACATTGTGGAGATACACAACTAAGACATGTACGTTAAATACTATCTGCTTTGTCTCCTAAAGCTGGAACATAAAAAGTAATTACTGATTCCTTTTTTTAATCTCAGCTTATACAGCCATCAGAATGCTTGTTGACCCTGCCTCCAAAATCTGTGACCCGGTTACACCGAGTCAACCGCCATGCCTTCCCACCTTAGGGCCACGCCATCATCACTTTCGCCTCATCTGTTACAATTGTCACCCAGCTGGTCTTCCAGCATTAACTCTTACCTTCCTTATCATTTATCTTCTAGTAGCTAAAGTGATGTTTAAAAATATAAATTCTACCACGTCATTCCCCCCCTCCTCTTTTTTTAAACCTTCCATTAGCTTCCAATGCTTTGTATTTGATGAGTTCCTACTTCTTTCCTTTGTCCTTAGATGGCGTGACCCCTTCCTACCTCCCTGCTCCCTTGCCGGTAACTCCCTCTCTTGCACACTACTCTTCAGTGATATTAATACACTCTTTGATCTTCAGAAAGCTTGTGCCTACCTCAGAGTCATTGCCCTTGATTTTCCCTCTGCCCAGAGTGATCTTTTCCTCATTGCTGTGGCAGGTTTCATTTTTTAATTCATGCCTTAGCTTAGATGCTGGCTTTCTAGAGAGACCTTCCATCACCTGACTCCACTCTTCACTCTCTATCACATTGCCTTACTTTATTACTCTCATAACACTACTGCTAACCAAAATTACTTTATTAATTTATTTGTTTGCACAGTTATTATTTATGTCTCCCACCAGAATGCAATCTCTATGACAGCTGGTCATTCTCTGTTTTGTTCATGACCGCATCCTTATTCATGACTGTATCCCCATTGCTGAGACCAGAGATTAGCATATTCAAAGCACTCAATTTTTTTTTTTGGTATCAATATGGTCTGTGCCTGTGATGAAATTTCTCATTTTTCTTTTATAATTCTGATGAAGGCTGATGACTTATATTAGTCCTTTTACAAAATTAAACTCTAGTGTAACAAGGGTGTATCAGTCTGCTTGGGCTGCCATAACAAAATATCACAGACCAGGAGGCTAGAAATTCAAGATCAAGGTTGGTTTTTCATGAGGCGTCTCTTTCTAGCTTGTAGAAAATTGTCTTCTCCCTTTGACCTTGTGTGGCTTCTCTTCTCTGGGTACACTCAGGGGGACAGAGAGAGAGAGGGAGAGAGGTTGATCTATCTGACATCTCTTTCTCTTCTTACAAGGACACTAACCTTATTGGATTGGGCCCACCTTCCCTATGACCTTATTTAACCTCAATTACCTCCTAAAGGCCCTGTCTTCAAACAAAATCACACTGGGGGTTAGGACTTCAAAATACAAATTGGGAGGCAAGGACACAAGTAAGTGCATAACAAAGGGTGAGGAGAAAAAATCATTTTCTTTTGGTTGTCTAAACTATAATGAATTTGTGCAGTTCTACCCAGGAACAATCTGAAAATTTGGCATATATATTTTGGTCAAGGTATTGCTTGACTTGTGGTTAGTATTTCTCAGTGCATGTTATGGCACAAATTGCATATTTTAATGGGATATTTTAGTGAGCTTCTCCTTGATATGCATAGTGGGGCATTAACATGCTGATAATTTAAACTGTGATTTATTTATTTTTTTTTAATTTTTTGCAGAAGGGTTTGGCTAGGTAGCATGCAGTGTTAATTGTATGGAGCTCTTCTTCTCAGAAGTTTGCCTTCCAAAACTCCTTGAAGCTTTGTGCTTTCAATGACCATTAATATTATAATGTGCAAAATTTTACCATGGGTCAAGCTTAGTTCCATAAAGGCCAGAAAGAAGGCTTTAAAAAAAGATAACAAACAAATTAGGAAAAAACTCTTTTTCTTTTCTTCTCTCTTCTCACCATATATTCTCTTTCTCCTCATGTTTTCTTCTTTGAAAGGAAACCTTTGGTGAGAGATGATTTCCTTAATTTATCTTATTGCCTATTTCCCTAGGCATGAATATTTAAGAGGTATCTAAGAATGGTTTCTAGGCAGTGACAGAAATGGAAATTATTTACCCCAGGAACTCTGCATGTATTCTTGTTAACTCATTTGCATGCTGTTAACTGAATAATATATTGGTGGGAACAGAAGCCCTCCATCATCCACATTCCATTTGCATCGTCTGTTTTTAGGGTGACGATCTTGTTTACCTAAGTTGCAAGACACCCCATATCTTATACAAATGGAGAAATTAAATTGGCAGATTCATGCATGAATTAAGTTGTTGTCTTGCTTTGTATTCTTTCAGGAATCTCGGGTGAAATGAATGGGCCTGCATGGATAATGAGGAGTTTTCAGAAATTTAAATTTCTTATTGAGTAATTCAGTTTTCAGTGGCTATATCATTCAATAATAAATTTAAAACATTACATAAATATGGTGTGATGATTATGTGCACAGCATGAAACCCACTGCATTTTTAGAATGAGTCAAATTCAGATAAAATTGGAGGGGATTGCTTAACCACTGAGGATCTGCCAGAGCATTTGATTGTAGATCGGAAATTTTGAAAACCTTCACATAGACTGTAATAAACTGGCTGCTCTACTGTAAATGAGATAATGCGGGACAAACACCTGATGTTATTTTCAAATCTAACCTAAGAAGTTATACAAATATTGAGGTGTATAGAGAAATTATCATATGCATATTTGGAGGCATATGACTAAATTTGGTACTGAAAGTGATTTGGCTGGGATGTGGTGAAAATGTTTACAAGGTTTGAATCTTTTTAGGAATTTGAAGAAAGAGAAACCGCGTATTTTCTGAGATCTAATCCATTTATTTGGGATCCATCTGAATGAGCATCTTATTTCACTGGGCAATCCTGTATTCTAGCTGCAGATGAAGAGAGTGCTTCACTTCAAACCTCCTGACTGCCATGGAACCATCTGGCACGTGCACATGTGTGGGTAGGTGAGACTCCAGCTAACACTAAAGTCTTCAGTTGGGATAAGTTGTTTTTTATTTACCACTTCATATCACATCTGGGTACAGAGGCAGAGTTAAAACTTGTCTTGAGTCCCTTCCTCTCACCTTAAAGCTCATTCTTTTCTACTTTTTAACTCACAGGAAGCTACCCATTCTTACATAAAATAGTTGGAATAGAAAAAAAGAATAGCAATTACAGTTGAGGAAATCTAAAGTGGGAAAGATTTTATTTTGTTTCATTCACACTTAGAGGTTTATCCCCAATTATTGCTTTTAATCAAGGGTAAAAGGGTTTGCACATGTTTTTCCCCTATGTGCTACTTTGAGCAATATTCATGTTATGCAAAATGATTATGCTAAATGTATGTGAGAGCTTGAGTCTTGGTGTGGATGTATATGGAGTCTATGAGACCCAAAAGGGAACAACAAGGAGGAAGGTAGGAAAGTCAAGGGACTGTGAAAAAATGAAGAACTAGTAAGCAATGGGCAAATGGGGACCTGAATGAGAAATTGGGTGGTTTGAACAGATTGTGTATATCTTTTTCTCTCTGAGACCCCTAAGATCTATTATATATTGCATGGGGAAAAATAATCTTTGCCTTCTTTCTAGCTTCTTAACTATGTACTTTCATCATTGTTGTACGTTCTTTTAAGCTTAGCTCAGAAAAGAAATAGTAATATGATACAGGAGCTCAACTGAAAACTGGCTTTAGATCTCTCCCTAGCCAGGTAAGACACAAAGGAGGTCATTAGTAACACATGTTTTCTTGTTAAGCTGGATGTACTACTCCAGTTGAAGAGAGTGGTATAATGCCTAGCACATCATTTTTCTTCTTTTCTATAAATGATTCCACAAAGAGAAACAGCATCCTTAAGAACTGAAGACTGTCTGGACATGTGTCTTATGGTATAAAATACAGACAAGCATGGCCCAGGGGCTTCCTCTGTCTGGTTGCTCTTCACTGGAGTGCTGGTAGTGCCTGATTCAATTAGTAATCAGACATGTAGTCATTGCTATTTTGTGACTTTAAGAGCCTTGATTGTGAATTATATTCACAGATTGCAATTTATTTCTGAATATGGCCCTTTGTCTTCATGGACCTCAAGAGGTTATAGACTGTGATAAAATCAAGTTTCCTCTATTTAATAATACATCAGACATCATTGTATTCATCAAGATTTTGGTCAATAGCTCCAACAAAATCCATGTGTGTGAGTAATGAATTTGTCAAGATTTTGTTTGTGAGAATAATTTTGTTAGCTGTCCTCCTTCTGCCATACCCCAGCTGAGATATATAATAACTAACACATGTAATTCCAAAATGGGAACATCTCAGCTTTTAATGTCTGAAGCTAATTAGTCCACAAAAGTTCAGCCTACCTTACTGATGACACTGTGTTGTATCTGATGGCGTAACCAAATAGATAAGCATGGTCTTAGTCCTGAAGGAATTTTCAGTGTTTAGGAAGTCAAGCTGTATACAGATTTAAAAAATAACTAATTTTGAGAGTTTTGTTACTAAAATGCCAAGTACATCATACTTATTAAGTAATTTTTCTATAAAGACTTTTATCTTCACTGCCGAGTTTAGAATGAACTTATCCTAAGGTGGATCTAAGTGCTTTTCACCATGTAGTTTGAGAGCCATCTTACCTATGAACTGGTATGTAAACCATTCCATCTATAAACCAGACAACAATGGAAGGTTATTAAAAGTAAATACCATATTTTAGATGGTGGACACTGTGCTGAAAGTTAAAGAGTTATTAAAGACGTCATGAGAAGAGTGGATATTTAAGTCTTCCTGTCTAAAGAGACCCAAGTAACAAACATTTAGGTATTTTCACACTCATGGCGTCACTGGCATATGGTTTCATTGAGTGATATATATTCATAAACGTGTCAGAAGTTGGAGAAAAGCTAGCAATTTAAACCTTTATTGAAGTCACTGATTTTGTTCTACCCTGCAAGAGAACTTTGCCCATCAGAAAAACAGTTAAGACAGGTTTTGTCTATTTGTCTCCTCCCGGAAAATATAGTACATAATTCCCATGCTTAAAAAAATGCATCAAAGAGAGAAACACCAGCTTGCTGACACCCTCATAATGGAGTACGGCCAATGTAATTGTTGATCTCTTACAGCTTTTTGAAGCAGTTAAACTCTGAATAGGTCCACCCTTCTGTTGTTTAGCCAGCAATCTGCTCCCTTCCAATGAATGAAATAAAAGCTGAGGGGCAGGATTTCATTCCTGTTCAAATTGGAAACCTGTCTCTTTAGGAGCTGAGTCCTTCCTTCTCCATTAAATCTTCTACTACCAAGGAGAGAGAGAGAAAAAACAAATTTGGATATGCAGCCTAATGATCCTTCCATCAGCTAGCAACTTCACTTTGTGAGTTTTTTTTTTCTTTGAGTACTAGGAGATCCAAAATGTGAATGCTATAAGCAAACCCATTATTCTTAGTACTGCTACCTATAATTAACACCACCCAATGGAATTTAAAAAATATTTATAAAAAAGGCAACAGAGTAACAATTACCATTATCCCCAACTAAACTCCTCCTCTATGTTTTCATCAAGAGAGTGGTGTTGTTACTTCAACAGGCACAGTGTTGTGGTGACTTTTGTGATACAAATAAAGCAAGACTAAAATTTTAATTGTGAAATTTAAAAGGAAAGTAATTGCTTAGTGTTGGCTAATTCCATCTTTGTACGATGACAGCAGCTGCGTTTCCCTGCCTTGTGTATTTTAACAGATGGCATTATTTCTTATGGAGTGTTACAGTAGCGACCGAGGTGACACCGAAGGAAAATTCTGTGACAGGATGTTAAGTAAGATATTACTGACAGCCCTGCGGAGTGGCGATGCAGAACTGTGTGTCGTGGGTCTATTCTCACCTCTTCAGCCCCCACCAAATGGTCTCCATGTGTGGCATGTGGAAGCAGAATATAAAGATGAATGGAAAATCATGTCCTTTTTTTCGAATTCATTTATTTGCATTCCATTAATAGGTCTGGGATGGAGGCTGAAATCTGGAATAAAAGATGCATTTATCAATACTGTCATACCTTTCTACCAGAGGTAGGAAAACTAAGAGGCACCAGTAGGCCTGAGTCCTAGATCTGCCATAAGTCACTTTTCTCCAGGATTGGTTTCCTTTGCATAAAATGCTGGGTTTGGACTATGACAACATAGTTTTTAAGGCCCTCTTTAGCTCCAACTTTCTGTGATGCTGGGAGTCCTGAGCTTTGTGTTTTAATGGCACAGAAGACAAAGCAAGTAAAATGCAAGATGGAAACTAGATTTTTCAGCATAGAGAAAAGATCAGTGGGTCACAGGTCAGGATCTCTGGTCATGGTTCAGGCATGAAACAAGTCCCTGAGCCACTCCGTTTCAGCTTCTTCACTTCCTTCAGAAGACTGCAGACAAGAGCTAATGTGATGCTGTCACTGAAAGATGCTCATGAATCCAAGAAACACTGCACAGCTGACCTATGCTAAGCACTGTGCCAAGGACTGGGGATTCAAGGGTGGATAAAGTGGGGTTCTTATTTTGGAGGAGGATATCTAATGAAGGAGACCGCTATGTACATGGATGATTACAGTAAGTGTAGCAGAGGCTTTGATGGGCACAAGTACCGGGTGATAGAAAAGTATATAGGAGGTGCAGCTCACCTGGCAGGGCCATAGAAGGCTTTCAGAAAGAAGTGGATTCTAAGTTAAGGCAAAGCATAGGTAGAGGCAGGAAGAACATATGACATGACCAGAAGCTTCTTGACTTAGGGTTCAGAAATCATTAAGGTTTGCTTTTGCCTCACCACTGGGCTTAAAAGTAGGAGCCTGCCAGCATTTTGGGTCTTGAAGATCAAGGAATGCTATTATTTAAATATTCTGCCTTATTTCTAAAACATGTAAGTTTGAATGTCTGAGAAATGATATTTAAGAGAATACCATCTGCTTTGTCAGACTGTAAATGTGAACTTGAAACATCCTCTCCAGAGCTTCCTCTTCACAAATGCTTGTGTGAGGCCCCAAGAGTAGTAGAGTGTGCATGGAAGGCAGGTAAGGACAGATCTACTTTGACTGGTAGATGGAGAAATGATGGTGGCTTTATATAATATGAAGTTTTGGCTTTTTAAAACAATCTTTTCTAAGAGAAGGGTTACCAACTTGCTGCTCAGTGACAAATGAACCTGACTCATATCCTTTCCCTATTGGCTGCCCCTTCTCCATACTAACCTTTGACATTCTGCAGTTTAATTAAGATCACCCTCAAAGCAGCACACCAGTAATAGAATGGTAGATTTTCTTCCTGGAATAGGACAGGAAGGGCAATTCGCCAAGTTTGCTGCTGTCTGTGCCACTTTCTGTGGAGCTACATGAAGAAGTAAGGGTGACATGCTTGGTGAGAATGTGGTCAAAGGGGTGATATGATTTGGATGTTTGTCCCTTCCAAACCTCATGTTGAAATGTGATCCCAGTGTTGGAGGTGGGGCCCGGTGGGAGGTGTTTGCATCATGGAGGCGAATCTCTCATGAATGTCTTGGTGCTGTCCTTGCAGGAATGAGTGAGTTCTCACTCTATTAGTTCATGTGAGATCTGGCTGTTTAAAAGAACCTGGCATCTCCTCCTCTCCTTGCTCCCTGTCTTGCCATGTGACACTCCTGCTTCCCCTTTGCCTTCCACCATGGTTATAAACTTCCTGAGGTCTCACCAGATGCTGAGCAGATGTTGGTGCCATGCTTGTACAGCCTGCAGAACTGTGAGCCAAATGAACCTCTTTTCTTTATAAATTACTCAGATTTTCTGGTGGGGGATTAAAAGCTCACTGTGGGATAATTCTACACCAACTCAGTATACCACATAACTACTAATGATGAGGTTGAATGAAAAGGAGCACTGTGACTGTACTACAGCATCTCTAGAAGACATGACTGTAATGGATTAAAAGTGGCTGCAAATTCTTGGTTGCAGCTCTTAT